ATTTTATTTAAAAAATACTAAATACAATTAAATTTTCCAGGCAAATTTGCCTGGAATACAGTTTAAGGGATAATATTAATATATATCTTATATATAATATGTGAGCTAATCAAATTATTTGCTTATCTTTTATGTTTTTATTATATTATACTATAGCTTTTTAATATAGAATAAATAGCTATAGCAGAAATTTTTTTAAATTTTAAATAAAAATTTCTTAACAACTATCTAATAAAATTTAATAAAATTGATCTTAGGTTTGGGCTTTATAGCTTATTAGTTAAGTTCTTAAATTCTATAAACAAAGTTAACAGTCCAAGTCAGACTAAAAGCAAATTAATATTTGTCTTTATAACTTTTAGGAGCCAAATTAAATACAAAACTCTATAAGCAAGTTCAAGTATAGTATATAACTAGAATAGAAATTTTTAGAAAAAAACTTAGATATAAAGTAGATATTATTATATATAACTACAGTGTTACAAAAAACTCTAGTTAATATAATAGTACAAGTAAGTTCTTAAAACAGAACAGCACTAATATTTTTGTATCTTCAGTTTAAGCAATACCAACATCTCTATATTTAACTTGTGAAATACTTGCTTGAAAGGGTGATTATTAGACTATGTGAGTTAGTTCTTAACTGAATTGAAGATATGAATATTTATTTAAAAAGTGGTTACTAATAAACAGAGTTAAAGTAGTAAGAAAAGTAATAAATATATATATGATCTGTGATAAAGAATTAGTTTTACTAGAAGTAAAAGCATCTTTGGTATAGTTGACTAGAGTTACTATAAAAAGCTAGAATATAGAAGTAGGCTGAACTTTTTTGTATATATAAAAATACTGAATCAGAAAACAGTCATACTTATATAAAAGTCTACAGACAGAAACGGATCTAAAAATATATCAACAATAATATATATATCAACTTAAAGTAATAGTTATATATTAAAAGTAGAAATCAAAATAGTATAGTGTTATTGGAGTTAGAATAACTCTCTAAATACAACTAGAATTGTTCTGTACTATAATATTCCTTGTGTATTATATAGTACAAATATTACAGAATTACAAAAAAAAGATATATAAACAGATGAAATTGATATTAAATTAACTTAATTGATAATCTGTAAGTCAACTAGAGAAATTTTTGACACAGATCACATATAGATAAAGCCAAATCAGCATTTTAACGTTATATGTAAAGTTAGTAAATTTTTAATGAACATTTACTTTAAAGTAGTACAATTTGTAGAATAATACCATGTGATTTTAATATAAAAACTACTAAGTGTAAAAGCTTTTTGTTAAAAACTTTACTTTGGACATACGCAGCATTTACTATGATATGCATATTCAGATTAGTTAGTTTAATAAAGTCTTATAAATGCATTTAATCTTGATTTCTTCAAATAATTTTATTTTTGGGCTTCTTAGTATACATTATCGCATAAAACAACAACAAAAATGAAATTTGGTTGATGGCGCTAAGATCGTGGCACTTTAATAGGAGTAAAATAATTAGTAAGTATAGCATAACTTGAGATTTAGTTGCTATCATTAACTAATATAATTTATACTATAACTAAAGCTCTAGTGTATTCCTAGATTTATGCTATTAAATGGCTAATAAAAAAAAACAGTTGTATAGTATTTGAAATCTGTTGAAGATAGCAATTCGAATGGACGAAAGATCTTGAATTCTGCTACAGAACCAACACAGCAGCTAAGTATAGAAAGATCTACTAAAGGTGGTAATTCCATTAGGCAGTGAGGTTTTAACACTATTATAAAAATGGTATAGGTTAGCTAAGGATAAAAATAAGGTGTTTGGGTATTTGAAATTTGCTAAAGGTGGCAATTTCAATTGACAATGAGGTTTCAGCACTGCTATAAAAATAGTATAGGCCAACTAAAGACAAAAAAAAATGTTTGAGTGATATTTGAAGGTGGCAATTCTGATGAGCAGTGAGGTCTTGACACTGCTATGAAAATGGTATAGCCAGCCAAGGACGAAAAAAGGTGTTCAAGTGGTATTTGAAATTTGTTAAATATAGCAATTCTGATATACAGTAAAGTCTAGAAATCTGCTATGAAAATGATGTAGGCCAATTAAGGATGAAAAAAAGGCATTCAGATGGTATTTGAAATTTGCTGAAAGTAGTAATTCCAATAGACATTGAAGTCGTGGACTCTGCTGTAAAAATGGTATAGGTTAGCTAAGAATAAAAAAGATGTTTGAATAGTGGTTGAAATTTGCTAGAAGTGGCAATTATGATAGCAGTTAAGCCTTTAGACTCTGTTATAAAAATAGCATAGGCCAGCTAATAATGAAAAAATGTCAATTAAGTGGTATTTAAAATTTGCCAAAGTGGCAATTCCGGTAAACAATGAAACTTGGCTCTGCTATGAAAATAATATAGGCTAGCTAAAGATGAAAAAAAGAGCACTTAGATAGTGTTTGAAATTTTCTGAAGATGGCAATCTCATTGGGTAATAAACTTAAGCTCTGCTATAAAAAATAGTATAGGATGAGAAAAAGGTATTTGAATGATATTTAAAATTTGCAATTCTGATAGGCAATATAGTCTTGATCGATCTTAATTTATTGATTTTTATTTTATTTATTTTATTTTAGTTATTTCTAACCAACATGTATTAAATCATAAGATAATCTAAAATTAATGCGAATAAAATTAATGATGTATTATATAATAGTAAGTATCTATTCGAATTGTTATTAATAACTAAGTTTAGACCATTCTCATGTATCTCCTAAGATGAGCGACTTTAATAATACACAATATTAAAACTAGAATCTGTTGAGAAAATTTTTTTTGTTAATCTCGTTCCTTTTTCTCAGTACCAAATCTATTTATTAATTGATGCATTTAAGATATTATTAAAAAATTATATAATTTTTAATAAAAAAAAATAAATTTACATTCTTTATTTGTTTCTTTTTTTTTGAATTACAATCGTATTTCAAATTATAGCTATATCTTAGTTTTACTCTATGATCTAACTAATCCAACTTAATAATATTTAATATAATAAATTCACAAAACTAACATCATCTAAAATAAAGTTTGGTTTAATCTGTTCGAATTTTAATAAATTATTTTTTTTAGTAATAAATTCAGTTTTAACCCATTAAATTTTAAACTACTAGTAGTAATTTAAATTCAAATACGTAGTTTAAAATTCTTTCTAATAGCAAGATTTCTCTAAGCCTTGTTTAAATTAAAACTTTTACCTTGTGATTGTAGCTTGTAACCTTTTCTAAAAGTTCTAGTAGTTTGTAGTTTTTAAATAGGCTTAGTAAGTTTATAAAAACCAAATAACAAGCAAATACTATATATAAAAAAATGAAATGAAAGGCCAACTTTAAGGGCTGCATTCTTTTCACAGTTATTACTTATCTCATTTTAAATATAAAAATAAGAAAGTACTTTATGTTTTGTGAATGTAGCTTCTTTTTAAGAAACAATTTACCTGTGATCTGTGTGATAAATCGGGCTTCACATTTACAAATTGTGATTTTTATTAATAAATTTGTGTCATAGTTACTTAATAATTGTAGATCATTTTCTTTAGTTGACTCGTAGATTATCAATTAATATATAATTTATTTCTTATAGTTTTTATTTTTTTTACAAATATTGAAGAAAGTGAAGAAAATTTTAGCGAAATTACAAGTAGTAATTATTATAGTTGTTATCAATTGTTGTATAGTTTTGTCATATATTAATACAAGTTAACATTATGTTATAATAAAATATTTGTCTATTTCTAATAGATACAGAAAGGCGATTAACTATTAAGCATAGTAGAAAAAAAAATTACTGACTTCTCAATATAATGGTAAGAATTATATTTCAAAAATATTTTATTTAACCTAGTTCTTAATTTCTTATATTTTTTTATATTTTTTTATAGACGTTGGAGAAATTGAAGAAAATTTGTGTGAAATCACAAGTAACAACTAATTATTATTATTTATTAATAGTTGTTAGTTTTATTATATTATTAATACAAACCAATAGGGTCATCGCCACCAAAAAAACAAAGACTACATGAAGATAAACATATAGAATCTTATATGAATATAGATAATTGTAATGAATCAGACCAAAAGGATCAAGAACCAAATTCAAATATAGAAACTGACAATGATGACATAATAGAGTCAAGGTTAACACCACCTTTACCTCTAAATGAAGAGGAATTATTCAATGAAGAATTATTATTCAATAATGAAGGATCTGAAGAAATTAATTGTAAGTAATTAATAGATATTGACAAAGTTATTAGCTTAAGAATTCTGAATGTTAATTAATATTTAACTAGACAATTAGAAATTTCACAAAAACTGGATGAACTTCAAAAAATTTCAAGTGAATTTGAAGCTGCTGTTTGGTTAGCAAAACATCTACGTGTACTTGAGTTAGCATTTGAGATGTACAATGCAATATCATGAACTTTAGAAAATTCTCAAGAATCTTCACCAAAATTAAAGTTTTTGTTGAGTGATAGATTATTAATTACTTTAGTGCCAGATCAGAAATATATTTGCTATTTTTTTTGCAATATTTTATTTATTGATTTATTTAATGTTAACTATATTATTATAAATTTAAATAGACAATAATAGCAAACTTAGAACTTGAAGCAAAAGCATTATTTTTAAGAATAAGAAATAATACTTCTGCATTGTATACTGAATTAGCATCTGCTATATGTGGTATCTCCAAAGTTGACAAGCAGATGCTAGCATTAATTAAGAAGGTTGATAGTTGCTTTGATGATTATCGTTATCACCTCCTTGCAAAGCTTTGAAAGAGAGCTGATGAATGTTTGAATCAATTTGAATAAGTTTTAAAAATAAAAAAAATAATGAACATTGCTATTTACTACCAGTGGTGATATTACCAGGAATACTATATCTTAACAACTTACTAGCTAACTTATATTAAGAGTATTAAGTAAAAATAGTCAGAACCCTAAAAACCTAACCTAACTAAGATTTGGACCTTCATATCTAACCTTAACCTTGGTCTAAAATTGCATTCTAGCTCTAAATTTTGATAAAACAATATATAAGAAGT